GCAAACAGAAATATGTCAACAACTAGACTTTATCGTTATTATCGCGGGAAGACTAATTCTTATCGTGGGGAGAATTTTTACCGGTATATCACAAATGATAAGATATCGCCCATCCCTAGTTGTGCGTCTCTTTGCTGTGGATGTGAATGATAGCCTCAGTGTGTCATAACGCATGTGTCTGCTGTCCCTATCTGATATACACTCCTGTGTGTGTCTCGATCTCATAAAACACTTTTCTGCACTCCTATTGATTCCTGTGCTGGTGTGATGATACTAAAGATCGATGGCTTTATTTGACACAAGCTTGTCATAGTATCAAGATGTATTGCATCTGATGGATTTTGCCCATCACTCACAGAGCTTACAGAGCAACAGGGTTTTTTTCCCTTTTTTCATACTAGGATGCCTATGCAAGGAAAAAAATGGTTTTAGCTTATTAAAAGCGAATTTCGATTTCAGTCAAACCTGATTCAGTAATGAAAATAACAGCTAATAATATCTTGCACTTCCATCAATGAATCCTTGTTTCTCTTGATCTCATATTCAGTCAGTCAGTCTGTCATTTTAATCTTTTCTGTCTCTTTTCTTTGTCCAGACTCTGTGTCAACAGGTTCGGTGTTTGGTCGCAGTACAACTCTGAACATGCAGACGTCCCAGCTGAGCACCCCGCAGGACACGTCTTGCACACACATCCTGGTGTTCCCCACCTCTGCTTCTGTGCAAGTCAATAGCTCCAACTACCCGCATGAGAACATTGACATTGCCTTCAACCCTGGCAATGGTGAGGAACAACACTGTCTTATTTCCAGTCTATTTACTTGGTAGTTTGTGTTTTTGCCCTACTTGAAGATTTTGCCATATGAATTAGTTGCATGCCAATGCAAATAAATTATACTGAATCCTTGCTTCATTTCCAGATGGATCAGATCCAATGGGAGGCATCTTTTACCTTCTGGAGCAGGAGAATGACCTGGTTGATCCTGACATCATAAATATCCTTCCTGCCTCACCCACCACGTCACCAGTCCACTCACCTGGATCCCAGTACCCCCACGGAGGAGATGGGAGCAAGGTAGCTGAGATTGACCACTAAAAGGAACAAATAACCAGCATGTTAAGAGAAATGGCATGAACTTTGACTTGCAGACATAAAAGTAATAAGAATAAAAGACAAAACTCTTTGAGCTTTTTAAGGTTTTAAAGGGACATTTCACGTAAAAATAGTCATTTACTCACATCGTTCTAAACCCAAAAGACTTCAGTTAATCTTCAAAACACAAATTAAGATATATTTAATGAAAGCTAAGAGAGGCACTGAGAGTAGTACTGATTTACTGAGAGTTATTGTTGCTCACTTTCTTGTCACTCTCATATAAAAGTGTCTTTTTTCCTTTCTGTTTTGTATTTTTTGGAGCTCATCTCTATCTTTTCTTCTTTTTCAGGGTCAAAGTACAGACCGCATGGAGTCTCATGAAGAAGCTCCCAATATCCTCCAGCAGCCATTAGCTCTGGGCTATTTTGTGTCCACAGCTAAAGCAGGTCCACTGCCTGACTGGTTCTGGTCCGCGTGTCCTCAGGCACAGAACCAGTGTCCCCTTTTCTTAAAGGTAATTGCTCCTTGCTCATAATGCAGACATTTTTCTCTTGGGATTTGTACATTATTGCATCAAATTTCCTTAGTAAAAATTGATTCATCTCTAAGGAATACTGTAAATGTGCAAAATGGATATTAGACTATATGCAGAGCCAACAAAACGTTGTTCAGAATGTCATTTTCTTCAGAAAGCAGTGTGATACTGCACCCATCTACCTGTCATGCTTTATCCAGGTCACATGACCTTTCGTTTCCTCCTCATGCAGCATTTATAGAGAATCCTGCAATGGGGGATTTTTAAATAATTCAGTACTCAGGGATTGGGCCAGACTGCTGTTGGTGTGCATAAGAGAGAGCAGGAGAGAAACATTTGAGCTCGCAAAATGTGTTGACATGAATTATTAAGGCAAAGCATTTGATTTGATAAGCAGCTGTTTGTTTATTGCTGACTTGTACACAATTAAAAAGTCTGGAGCAAACCGTTCCCTAATAAAGGAAACCATAAACAGGGGTATGAATGTTTCTGGCGTCTCGTGTTTACTCGTTCATGGGCTTGTCGATTTAATTCATAACAGGCCCCGACAATGAGGGGAAATGTTCAGCTTTGTAGCTTGTTTTGGGTGGGTGTAGATTAATGGATTCTGTCGACTGAAAATTTCTTCTTGCCTCTCTCTTTCCCAACTCCCAGGCCTCTCTACACCTCCATGTGTCTTCAGTGCAATCGGATGAACTTTTGCACAGCAAACACTCTCACCCTCTGGACTCCAGTCAGACCTCTGATGTTCTCAGGTAATGTTCCTCTAAGTGTCCGGGAAGTGATATAATTCAGTTTAATGATGGCGAATGCTGAATATTCCAAAATGTTTTTCCTTCACAGATTTGTGTTGGAGCAGTACAACGCCCTTTCCTGGCTGACCTGTGACCCTGCGACCCAGGACCGCCGCTCTTGCCTGCCCATCCATTTTGTGGTGCTCAATCAAATGTACAACTTCATTATGACCATGTTGTAACACTCGCAGAGCAGAACTGAGAGCAGGACCTTATCAGGGAACGAAAAGAGGAGAGTGAAGAAAAGGTGGATCTGAAAACAACCCAACAGATAACTACAGTGCTGGACTTTATATGTACGCGAGTTACAGCGGAGATGATCTGGGTAGGCCGTCACTACACCTGAGACCCAGCACTGTGGAGGAGAATCAGGCGTCTGGTGTTTATAACACTCACTCAAAGAGAAAAAGAGGAGAAATGGAGGCCTTGGATGAGTAATCGGCAGCGTGGAGGCCAAAGAAGGAAGACGGGAAGTGCTGACTGGTGGTGTTCTACATCCCTGGATCCACGGCTACTACGACGGTAGAGCGCGGCTCCTCAGTTAGCATGGATTCGGCCAGTTCTATAATCGATGTGTATGGCGAAGTAACCTGTATAGATTCTGATGGAAAGGGACTTTGATGCTCTATGAAATGAGAGAATGAATTCTTGGTTCTAAGACCTCTAATTCTGTTTCTTTTGGATGGGATTATATCCAAACGAAATGCCTGCATCTGTCTTATTTATTGTAAGTTTTTAATGTATAATTTGTCTGATTTCTTAACCTCTTTTATATATAAAAGTTCTAGAAGGTTTGTATCGCCTTCCTGCTTTAAAGCAATTGGTCAAAAATATATGTACTCGTCTTAATTACAAAAACAAACCAACAAAAACCCACTAAAAAGATGAATAAAATAAAGTTGCGGTAGGTTGCTTTTAGAGTATTATTTTTTGTAAGGGAGACAGATTATTTGTATTGTCACCATGTACAGAGGAGACCGGATGGGGGTTTCTGTCCACGTCTTTGCGTGTGGACACAATTACAGCTAAGCTTTAGCTGCACGGGACTTGTACAGCAATGAAGTTCACTGTGTTTAAAAATAAAGAGGTACATTGTCGTATATTGTATTTTATACCACACATTTAAACACAAAAACTAAAAACTGCAATATATAAATAATTATATATGAATGCCGCACCAGCCTTGGGTGGCACTGCTTCTGTTTTAGGAATAAAAAGAGTCAACTTCATGTTTTTCCTGTGCTTGTGTTTTTTGGGGGGAGGGACTGTGATGTGAAATCCAAAATCCGATTGTTGTGAAGGAGGCTTGCGGCTTTGATAAAGATCTAAAATAACGCTTCTAGCCCCCCTTTAGAAGTTCATCCATTTCACTTCACCTCGCCCTCCCTGATTATCTCTCCTGCTTGCACCATTTCTGAGTGATAATGGACACTTTTAGACCAAAATCACTTTTCTTTGAGTGTGACAAAGAAATGTGTGGTGTAAATGGACTTTACAACCAGATCTGGGTGCCTGTTGGAAATGCAGTGTTTGTGCACAGAGAAAGATCTATTTCCTGTATCTTACTCTGTTCAGAATAAACTGTATGCTGATATTCAAAGACCCTGGGATTTCTCTTACCTCCCACACCAGTTCTACATCCTTTCCAAATGCAAGTGTGTGATGTACAGCATGTAAAGAGCTATAGGGTCAAGCATGTGTGATGGTTTCACAGTTTACCCTTTGTGAAAATCAGCTATAGAAGTTCAAGTGAAGCATTCATATTTCAAATAAATATTGGTAATCATGGGCCTAGTAATAATTTAACAAGGATATTTGCAAACTGCCACTGTAAAATGTGTTTGCAGTTACTGTTTTCATAACAAATACCATATTTTGCTTTATGAAAAAATAGAATTACATTGATCTAACCATTCTTGTGTAGGTTGCACCTGTGTATACTGTGGTCTTACTATGAATGCTACATTTAAAATATAATTACTATAACTAGTAAATATGAACACAAATGCCACATTTACTGTACCAATTCTAATAAACGCAAACGCCATAAAAGGTAAAAAAATAAAAATAAAAAATACATGTTCTATAATTAAATAATTATGATTATCTGTAATACAATAGAAAAATTGTTGAATGGGAAAATGTTTCTGAAAAAGCTTACCTTGCTAACTTACTTGCAGCTACCATTTAATGGTTAAAGGGGTCATATGATGCTTTTTTAAAGATGTTTTGAGACTTTAGTCTTTGCAACTTCAGGGATCTTATCTATTCACGAACAGCTTGTAACACTCCAAAGAGAAAGGAAAACTTGAAATCGCATCATATGACCCCTTTAAATGAGTCTCCGTTGTTCTCTCATGGTTGTGTCTCAAACCCAAGAGAGCTGTTTTCATAGATAGCATATTGGGCATCACAGACAAGATGGAATTTTATTTATGTAAAAATTATTTTTTATCTTTATTGTAAATGTTCCATATTTATTGCGCTGTGAAGAGAATTTAACTATGAACACGCCAGTGATGGCCAAACAATGGTGTCTAGGTAGGCGGCTCACTAGGTTTTGAGACGCAGTCAGAGTTCAGCATGCACACCGAAGGCAGATGAGCGCTTGTGCTAAAACAATTCACCATTCTACCTTTTAGCTTGCTGTCAGTAAACAGTCTGTGGGACGTAGATGGTTTTATGCAGAATAAGTCAATTATGTGAAGCATACAAATATTAATATTGGAATTATAGTGCTTCAAAGTTACATCTTGATGAATGGATCTCTTTTTATTAGCTCTAGCAGCTAGCCTGTTAGCTTTCCGCTGAACTCTACTACTTAACCGACGACGCTCAACTTCCTGTAGGCGTGAGAATCACGAAAGACCGCGGTCTCGCGGGCCTCATCGGGGCTTGTGTTTCTGGAGTAGCCAGCGGGTCTGGTAAACTTGAGGTAAGTCGGTTCCACTACTGTTCCACGGTCCCTAATGATACAAAATACTATTTTATTAGATTCTGATAAATTAACGCGCAAGCTAAAGAGTTTGATACGTTAAATATAACTTTGTATTTCATTGTGCTGTGCATCTGAGGGAAGTTCTCCACAGTGAGCATTCGAAAGTGTTTTAAATAGTATTTTAAATATTTTTTTGGAGCAACAAATGTTAAAACGTGAATATACATTTTTATAAATACACCTAAAATCGAAGTACACTCGCTATTATACCATGGGATTGTTTTATTACCATATTCATATTCTATAGTATTTACAGACTTTTACTATATACTTAAAAGAATAGCATAGCATTACCATAGTGCATGTCCAGAACATAGGTTTAACATTGTAAGTCATGTTAATACCACAGTGCTGTTTTTGGTGTAGGGTTTAGTCACAAATGGCATCAAAAAATAAATGAAACAAAATGACAGTTATACTTCAGTGAAAAAAAATAATAAATCCCGTAGTCATTTATTATTATGATTTTACAGTAATAGCAATAGTTGTGTACTAACTAATATTATGTAAAGTATGGTTATTATAAACTTTTTAAATCTAAAATGTTTACTTTCTTTGTCTTTCCCTTTCATTCTTTGCAGCAGAATGGCAGACAGTGTCAGTCTTCAGTTTGTGAGCCCATATGCATTTGAGGCCATGCAGAAGGTAGATGTGGCCAGACTAGCAGCTTTAAGTGACCCAGAGCTGCGACTCCTACTGCCCTGTCTGGTGAGGATGGCTCTGTGTGCCCCTGCAGATCAGAGTAACGCCTGGGCACAGGACAAGAAGCTAATCCTGCGACTGCTGTCAGGGGTGGAGGCGGTAAACTCCATTGTTGCACTGCTGTCTGTGGATTTCCATGCTCTGGAGCAGGACGCTAGAAAAGAGCAGCAGCTGAGGTGAGTTCAGAAGCTAGAAATTGCTTTCATGTGGCCGTTCTATAGATTCTGTTCATTGGCATAATAAATCAGATAAGTTAGTCTTTCTCAGAAGTGCTCTGAGAAATTGAGAGAGGTGTTTTGGAGGGAATTTAGCTTAAATATATGATGATTCTAATTATATTTTCTCTTTACAGGCATAAGGCTGGTGGCTCTAATGGCGAGAGCATCCTGGTCTCTCAACTGCAGCATGGTTTGACTCTGGAGTTTGAGCACAGTGATCCTCTCAGGAGACTCAGACTGGCTCTTAGTGAGCTGCTGGCCATTATGAACAAGGTTTAGTATGCTTTTATTTACTTCTGGATAATGATCTGTCCTTCACTTTAAAAGCGAAGTGTATAATTTAAAATAAAATACGTTAAAATACATTCCCCTAGTCTAGACAACTGTAAGTTAGTCCAGAAATGTGTAATTATTTTATTATGTGTTATTTCAGAACATCAACAAAAAAAAAAATATATATATATATATGAAGTTTTTTTTGCAAAAAAAAAAATTTTTTTTCTAAAACTCCATTTTATTACATTTTTAAAAATCATGTTTTTTATTATGTTATCATGTTTTTATTGTGTTTTATGTGTTAGTAAGCTTTATTTGTTAGTTATTTTTTACCTAATCAAAATAACCCAACTGCAGTTTGATTAATTGGAATGCACAATGAAAAACTACGATTTTTAAAACTTTTTATGTGTATTTGCAAATTAACTCTTCATATAAATACATACATGCATACACGCACACACACACATATATATATATATATATATACACAGTGCCTTGCGAAAGTATTCATACCCCTTAATTTTTTTCACGTTTTATGTTGCTGCCTTATCTTTTACTGCTTTAAATGACTTTTTTCCCACATCAGTATACACTCCATACACTATAATGGTAAAGCAAAAAACTGGTTTTTAACATCTTTGCAAATTTATAAAAAAAAAAAATTAAATGATTCCATTGCATAAGTATTCATACCCTTATCTGGAACAGGAGCATTCATATTGCTTGTAGATGTTATTACACTTCGAGTGAATTTAACCTGTGGCAAATTCAATTGAATGGGTATGGTTTGGAAAGGATCTGGGCTTTATGGCAGTGTGGCCAAACTCAATCCTCTCCTCAGTTGAAGACACATGAAAACACACTTGGAATATGCAAAAAGCACCTAAAGGACCCTCAGACACTGAGAAACAAGATTCTCTGGTCTGATGAACCTCAATTCCAGATATCATGTTTGAAGTAAACCAGCTCTGCTCAGCACTTAAGCACACAGCAAGAGTGGCTTACAGACAACTCTGTGAATGTCCTTGAGTGGCCCAGCCAGAGCCTGAACATAAACCCAATCAAATATTTCTGGAGAAACCTGAAAATGTGCATCTGCCCCCATCCATCCTGACAGAGCTTGAGAGGTGAAGAGAAGAGGAGAAGGATGGCAGATAATGGCCAAAAACTGATGAGCAAAACTTGTCGGCACCAAACAAAAAATACTTGAGACTGTAAATGTGCTTCAGCTAAATGTTTAGTTAAGGGTGTGAATACTTATACAATGTACTTATTTTTTGTTGTGACATTTCTGTTTTTGCTTTGTCAATATGGTGTATGGAGTGTAGATTGATGTGGGAAAAAAAAGTAATTTAAAGCAGTTTAACATAAGGCAGCAACATAACAAAACGTGAAAAATATATGTATATATGTGTATATGTATATGTATATATATACATATGTATTAATATATTATTATATATATTAATATGCTTTTCTTGAACAGAAAATCAGCATTTTTGATGAATCAATTGACACTGAAAACTGGAATAATATATGTAATTAATATAATTTAAAATATATTCAAATGGAATATTGTTAGTTTTAACCTAAATAATATTTAACAATATTAGTGTGTTTTTGTTCAAATAAATGTAGCCTTGGTGGACATAAGAGACCTATTCTCAAAACATTAAAAATACCAACCCCAAATAATATAGGTATTATGATCCTTTTAGCAAACTGAAAGACAGAAAGAACTAAATTAAAAGGCTACATGCATGCTTTCCTCAATATTTCATAAAGATGTTTGTTATCTTTAATTTATTCTGTCACACATAGTGTTAAAATATTTTCCTGTGTTCAACAGCTTGCTGACTCTAATGGCGAGTTTTTCCTCAAGTCCTCTGAGTTGTTTGAGAGCCCCGTGTACCTGGAGGAAGTGGCCGATGTTCTTTGCATCCTACAAGCAGGTGAATGGTGTAAAGACTGTCAAAAACTTTACATGAAAGTTAGTGAAAAAAACACCATTAAACTATTCTATGACACAATCATTGTTACATCGTTACAATTTTTTGGTCAAATTTCAAGAGGCAGTTGCCTTGCAGAGGTCTAAATATTTTTCTAATCTGATTTCTCAAATTCCCATTGTCCAAAGCTTTTGTTTTCTACCATTAATTCTGTATTAAATCCTCCTTCTGGGATTGGTGTTGGTCATAGCCCAGAGTTGTGTGAGAAGTTTTGCAGCTTCTTCATAAACAAAATTGCTTGCATTAAATCTCAGATTGGTTAAAAACTGAGGTTGGTATTTGTGATTCGGCCTTAGATTGGTTTGAATCCTATTTTACTGCGAAGAGTTTTTCTGTGGAGATAGGTCATTCTCATTCATCACCTACCTCTTTTACTGGTGGGGTGCCGTAGGGCTCCATCTTGGGCCCGATTTTGTTTGCTTTATATTTGCTCCCTCTTTGTTACATTTTTGAGTTTCACAAGGTCCCATATCACATTTATGCGGATGATACCCAGTTGTACATGTCAATTAAACCTGGGTCAAAGTCCTTATCCGACTTGCTTGCTTGTGTAAATGACATCAAAAGCTGGATGGGTGATCATTTTCTTCCGTTAAATGAGAACAAGACTGAAGTCATTCTATTTGGCTCCCCCCATTTGGTTAACAGCATGTCCTCTAGTTTAGGACCCTTGCAAGCAAATATCCGTACTCGTGTAAAGAACCTGGGTGTTGTTTTTGATTCAGAGTTAAAATTCGACAAGCAAATAAACTCTTGTTAGAGCTAGTTTTTTCTAGCTTAGGGGCTTACGTAAACTGAAATCTCTTTTATCTTTTAGTGATCTAGAGACAGTTATTCATGCCTTCATTTCAACCAGGCTTGATTATTGTTATATGCTGGTGTCAACCAGTTTTCCCTTTCTCGTTTGCAACTGGTTCAAAATGCTGCAGCCCGCTTCTTAATGGGGAAGAAAAAGAGGGAGCATATCACTCCTATTTTAGCACATTTACATTGGCTACCAGTTAAATTCAGAATTGAGTACAAGGTTTTAACTTTTGTGTTTATAACCTTGCATGGTCTGGCTCCAGTCTATATCTTAGACCTTATTTGTCCATCCATACTCACCCCGGAGATCTCTTAGATCATCCTCTGATAATCTATTAACCGTTCCATTGTCTCGTTTGAAATCTAAAGGTGATAGAGCCTTTTCTGTATCAGCCCTTAAGTTGTGGAATTCGTTACCTCAATCTGTTAGGTTATCATCTTCTTTATGTGCATTTAAATCATCATTGAAAACGTATCTTTTTTCTCAGGCCTATGTATAATTGTTGGATATGTTGGTCTTAGTGAGTTAAATTCTTATTCCTGATTTTTATTTGGTTTTATGGGTTAAGCTGTTGATTTAAATTGTAAACTTTGTATTTTTATCGTTGCATTGTGTTACTGTGAAGCACCTTGGTCAGCATTAATGTTGTTTAAAGGTGCTATATAAATAAAAATGACCTTGACCTTGACATCTGTAAACATTTCCTTCAGCATGTCAGAAAAGAAAAACTGGCTAAAATTATACTTCAGCTGTGCCTGTAATTTGTCTTTGTTTTGTCCTTTATTTGCTGTCTTTGAAGATAAAACTATAAATTTGTCTTAAACATAGAAAATCTTTTTTTTTTTTTTTTTAATCTGCTCCCAACAGAGCTGCCTTCTTTGCTGCCCATCACTGAGGTGGCCGAGGCCCTGCTTCACGTGCGGAATGGAGAGTGGTTCCTGTGCCTGCTGGTGGCAAATGTCCCAGACAGCTTCAGTGAGGGTATGTCCATCATCTGCTGAAATATCCAACAAATATTGAATTTAAAACAGTTAAAAATGTAACTTTTAATCCATTAACTTTTCTCTCCTTTAAAGACAACATGAAATCAACACTAATTAGATGTACTTTTTAATTACAAGTGCCTGGCCTTACTGTGCACATTTCATCAGACATGTTCATTTGTGACCCGTGCTGGCAAAATGAGTCGGAATGCGCACAGGTTAATTTTAAACTACATGCAAAAAAAAGGTCGAATTTAAGGTTTTCACAAAAATTAGTTCATTAGGCCCTCGTCTAGTGATCCCAATGCCTCCAAAGAGTAATTAAAATCTAAAATTATCTTTATTTGTTCATTTTCTGAGAGGAGTACCTTTTCTCTGCTCGCCTCTTGCGTTGACTGTCATCCGAAGCGTATGCATAAAGGCACTTCCGGTAGCGCGCAATCCCGATAAATACACATATTCACAGAATTACAGTGTTTAAGTATTCACAGTGTAATCTGTTATTTCTTAAGTGAATGTCTGGGGAAAAACATCTGATGTGTAACATTATATTAGATCTGTGCATTACAGTAGGTCTTAATATATAGGCCGTCTGTCTCATTAATGTTAATGTAACAATAAAAGAAAAGAGGGAATCAGTTGCTATTCTTGATTAAACTGCTTTTGTAGTTTTAATAATGAATTTATTTGTAATGACTACACAAAAGGGATTTTTACATTTGATTATTTGTTTTTCTTGAATGCTTTTGTTTAAATGTAAAACGAAAAAGGTAACGCATAATTTTTCTTATATTTGTTCTACTGTTTTTTTTGCATATGTTCTTATTTATAATAACAAAGATAAAATCAACAAATAGCTATATTGTGATTATTAATATAGTAATGATCATTAAGAAAAGAAGTGGAGGAAAAGATGCAATGTTGCTAGGTGATTTTGCTTTGGAACTTTCAGAGAATTTTAACTTGATTTTTCTCAAAATGGATTTTGCTGACTGTCGACTTTAAACGGGTGAAGCTCAGTCATTTTTTGTCCGATTCCAACAAATCATACATCATTTTGAAGGTCTTTTAATGTGAAAATAAATGGGGATGTGAAAAGGATTTGCTCATTGTGACTCATTTTGCCAGCACGGGTCACATTTAGAAATATTCCACATTATGAAAGTTCATTGAATTGTGAATTCACTTTTAAATAGTTGGAGTTGCATTCAGGTGTTTCTAGGTTTTGGATCAGGGATATGTACATTTGTTTTCTTTTTAACATACCAAAATATAACAGTATGTTTCGTTTTTTTCTTCATTGACTATAAAGCCACATGAAACTCAGTTTTACTTTACATTTTATCTGCTTTATGTGGCCATTGCACGATCATCTGAGAGGTGCTGAATTTCCATTTTGATGAGTATGGCAGGGCTGATTATGTGCAGTTTGGGCATGGGTGTGTTTGTGCACCTCTTTATGTGTCTATATGGGTTTTCCACAGAGATGCTCTAAGTGGAAATAAAAACATCTCTGAGTCTGCTATCTTTTCATCACTCCTAGGTCCTTGTTGAGTCAATAGCTTATTTGTGTGAGGCTCCATTCAGAGCCAGTTTGAAATGTTTCGTATTATTGAATGGCCAATTCTCAAGGCTCATTACCTAGACAGGATCTTTCATTGGGAGAATATTCCGCTCAAGGCTGAATCATTAAGGGAAAGAGCTCGTCTATAGAGATACACTGTAATCAGATGCAGCATGAATTGTGACAGATTCAGCTGCGTTTTCTCTCAATCAGGCGTTTTTTCATTAGAGGCTATTGAAACTAATATCATTCCGGCACTCGGTCATAAAAGATTCTCTGTAATTCTAATCATTCAGCGTGGCAAAATGTCATCTGTGGTTAAAATCACATAGTAAAAGGTAAACCGATATTTTAATTCAAGGTGAGAGGAGAGCTGGATTCCAAGCCAAATAAAGAAAGATTAAAATAATCTCAACTGAGCCGTAACATAGTAGGCAAGTTTAGCTGTGGTGCTCACATGGACTCACAGTATCAAATCTGGTCTACATCTTGTCCCAATAAAGGTGGCATATATAATACTTGGAATTTTTCTCAATTTACTAAGATGAACAGGAATGCTAACACACAGCTTTGTGTGTTAGCATTCCTGTTCATCTTAGTAAATTGAGACTGAACCATGTTAACCAGCCCATTCTTTTTTTCTTGATCGAATGTGTCTTTCAATAAAAAGTGTCAAAAAGCCCAAAAGAAAAAGAAAGTGAAAGAAGCCTCTTATTCTCACCAAGGATGCATTTATTTGTAAAAAAAAAACAAACAAAAAAAACACAGCAAAAACAGTAATATTAATACATATTATTACAATTAATAATAATAAGAACTGTGTTAGTTCATTCCTGTGATATGAGCTGAATTTATGCAGTCATTACTACAGTCTTCAGTGTCACATGATCTTTTAGAAATCATTCTAGTGTGTTGATTTGGAACAATTCTTATTATCAGTGTTTAAAACATTACATTTTTGGTACATGGTACATTTTTTCAGGGTTCTTTGATGAATAGAAAATTAAAAAGAATATGAAAAATCTGAAAAAGAAGTCTTTCGTAACAATTTCTATTGTATTTACTGTCACGTTTGATCAATTTAATGCATCCTTCCTGAATAAAGATTTTAATTAAATCATTACTTTTCTTACTGACCCCAGACCTTTGCACTGTACTTAATGTATGTAATAAAAATACAACAATATTAGTATATCTTTTATGTGGTTTTTAGACTGCTTAAAGTTAAAAGCAGCACATTTAATCAAAATTGCTTATGTATGTGTCCTTGTATCTCCAGTGTGCAGGGGTTTGATAAAGAACGGAGAACGGCAGGATGAGGAAAGCGTGGGTGGGCGACGCAGGACAGAAGCTCTCCGGCAGCTGTGTCAGATGAACCCTTCTCAGGCTCTGAACATCAGGGCCATGGTGGTGAGTCTCGAGCATTATACTACCTGTCATGCTTGGTAATGGGCCGCAGCTAAATTGATCAGAACCATGTGTCATTAAAATCAAGCCCTTGGTCCTTCCACAGGTGGAAGAGTGTCATCTTCCAGGTCTGGGCGTTGCTCTAATTCTAGACTACAAGCCAGACACGGCAGATGAGGCGGTCAGTCCTCTTGTGTCTTATGTCAGCGGCCTACTTCTGGGCACCAATGGAAAAGTGCGTACCTGGTTCAGTATGTTCATTCGCAATGGTCAGCAGGTAAGGAGGAACAACAGAAGCACTCAGACAATTGATGATAAGCTACATTGTAAACGCATGAAACTCATGTACGTGTCTCACTTCAGAGGAAAAGAGAGAGCAGCTCAGTGCTGTGGCAGATGCGGAGGCAGCTGCTGTTGGAGCTGGTGGCCATCTTACCCCGTTCCCGCAGTACCCATGTTCCCAACGACAGTGACATGGACTCAGAGAGCAGCTCGGGGTACTCTGGCCTGCGGGAGGAGCATGTGGTGAAGGCCAGTGCGCTGCTGCGGCTCTATTGCGCACTTATGGGGATTGCTGGTCTTAGGTATGCTACAGCTGACACATATCAGTTCTTTAAAGTATAAATGGGTGGTATAGTAACTAGAGATCGACCGATGTATCGGTTTTGCCGATTAATCAGCACTGATAGTTGATTGCTGGAATTATCGGTTATCGACAAAAATCCATGCCGATAGTTTTCCGGGTTGTGTACATTGCTAGAGAGGCTGAGAAGGGTCTG